ACTCATATGATAAGCTCCGCTCGACAAAGTCGACAGCGGAGCTAAAAATAGCTCCCCTGTCAAGACGTGTGGTATCCAAGTCGAGCAATGCACACCCATAAGACTTCTTCTTGGAAACTGCCAGCTCAATTTGATTCTAAGTATCAAAGCAATTAAACTGGTAATTTGTAAGAAGTCTTCAAAATAGCATTTTTTACCAAAAATGACAAAAATATTCACAAAAATTAGAGAATTGATGATATCGTTACGAAATGAAAAAATCTGACAGAGGTGCACCCACGGTACCTACATACATGTGTACATGTACCAACAATCAAAGCAATTGAACTGGTAGTTTTCAAGAAGTAGTTGAAAATGCATTTGTTGACAGCAGATGACGATGAAAGCGGAGCTAAAACACTTGAAGAATATCTGAAACACACGAATGGTTCATCTTAAGTTCCATATTTAATCACATGACTCGTTCAACTGATCATAAATATTACTTACGTTATTTCTTCCTGGCATTTCTTGACTTGTTCTTCAGCTTCTATTAACTGTTCTTCTATTTGCTTTATTTTTAGATCTTTACTTTCAGTTGTTTCTGTTTTAAATAATCCTTTGAAGGAGAACCCGGACTGACCAGACTGAAAACCATAAATTCAGCAAATTTAGCAAAATCTCTAAAAGAGCAAACAATATTGTTACTGTAAACATCTACAATGCAGCAGCTTTCCTTTTACTCATTATGCTACCACTAAAAAACAAGTTTATTGGAAAAGCGAACTTTAACTTTAATAATTTACATTATTATATGTATAAGTGTTTGTCATACCATCATATTTAGACTGACAGAGAGAGGGGAAAAATAAATAGAGAGAAAAAAGAAAGAATAAATGAAATAATTCAATCCATAGCGTCCAATCTGTATTATAATTACTTACTGCTAACAGCTCTTTTTGTTTTCCCTTTGTAGCTAGATTTTCTTCAGCTTTTTCAAGATTATATTGTAATACTTCTTGTTTCCTGCACACTGTTCTGTAAAATCAATAACAATGCTTATTTGTATTTGCACACTGTGAACTCATTCACTAATGGTCCTTATAAAATGTTAGTGAAAATGTTTTCACTTTTCTGCCATTTTTTTACATAAAAATGTCACGCTGATCAATTTGTGTCAAGAGGGAGGGAACACAATCAGCAGACTTACTTTAATGCATCTGAGTAAAATAAATATTCTTTCAACTGATCTGCATACAACTCTTCTTCTTCTAGGAGTCCATCTATACTTGCTGCATACCTGAAACACAATGATTCACTGATAATCCAGGTTTACGAGTAAACTTGTCCATTTTATAAACTCGAGTATGGATGTATAACCTTAGAGTTCAAAAACACAGGATGTGTGACCTTGGATTGCAAAGACACGATGATGTATGACCTTGGAGTCCCAAAACACCAGAATGTATAACCCTGGAGCTCAAAAGCACTGGGATGTATGACCTTGGAGCTAGAAACACTGTGATGTATGACCTTGGAGCTAGAAACACTGTGATGTATGACCTTGGAGTCCCAAAACACCAGAATGTATAACCCTGGAGCTCAAAAGCACTGGGATGTATGACCTTGGAGCTCAAAACACCTGGATGTATGACCTTGGAGCTCAAAACACCTGGATGTATGACCTTGGAGCTAGAAACACTGTGATGTATGACCTTGGAGTACAAGAACACCAGGATGCATGTTCGAGTTCAAAAACACTAGGATGTATGACTTTAGAGTTCAA